CAACATCTCCAAATACATAATTAATAGTAAAAATGTGAAATTGGCTACTCTAAATTCAGTAATTTCATAGTTTTTCTATGGTATTCAGAAAAACCCTACAGGTATATCATTTAGTTTAATTAGTGTAATGTAAACAATAGTACAAAGGGCTAAGGACAATCGTGCGCAAGAGTCGCGCCGCAGCTTGGTGCGGTGCGCCGCGCCGGTCAACTTTCAGTGACATTGACATGGCATGGAGCGGCGTGGCGCGGCCGACTACGCTGGCGGTTTGCGGCTGACCGATGATTGGGTTCCGTTCGTGCTCTAATTCGCATAACGACCGATGTAACGCCAGAGATGTATTAAAATATGAAAGGGACCGTTTATGTACTAAGTGTAACAGATTATCACTGAGTATAAATAGTTTGTAATGAGTTTCTGAATTGGTATTAACAAATCTTGTAATATCTATTTAATTTTTCGAAATAAATACTAAACATATGGGGGCATAATAATTTTAAAATGCGTAGAAACATAATTTCACCATGAATATTTCTGATGAATATCGAAATAAAAACTAATAAAAGTAAACCAACTTTCAATACTAAATTACGATAAAATTAAATTTATTATAAAATATTTTTGTAAATTTAGATGAGAAAGGGATTTTATAAGTGATGAAAAGTTTTATTCAGATTACATGTTATATAGTTATAATGTTTAAAACAATTGTGAAAATGTTTATATTATTATTATTACCCATAATATACCATAATAATAAACTGAAACTATAATGTGGATTATAAGAAAAGGCACATTTTTCCTCAATGAAACTTAATTATGAATTTTATATTTAATTACAAATTTAAAAATCTGTTTCAAATAAGATCGTCCTAAATCCATCTCTGTATAATACGATTTACTATTGACTTTATTGTTATTGCAAAAAAATAACAATTGTCTAATCCAATTTACAATCATTTTATTGAAATGGTCTAATGCGTTCCGGTTATGAGAGGTCATTAACATGCAACTCACGAATTCATTAAAATAATACATTTTCTTTTACAAGTCAGTCAAATGCACCTAAAGGCCAATAAATATCTTCAAGGTATAACTACTTTCGTTTTCATAAATATCAGTATATCATATTTATGAATACATATACTCCAATTTTCTTCCCAGAGTATTGTAGAACATTTTGTTTCCTTCTGAAACGTTCGGGATGTAATAAATTGGCAAAATGGTATATTCTACAAGGAGAGGTATTATAAATATGATATGAGAGTAATTATGATATGAGACACTTTTTAAATTTATAATAACAGTATGCATACTTCTATACATACTTTACATTTATAAATTTTGACTGAATACTTATTGGAATCGACTTACGTTCACTTTTGTTAATGATGACAATATTGATTTAAAACTAAGAATTAGAGTTAATCTATGTAAAGTATATATATCTTTCAGAAATGTGGCAATATTACTTTAATGTGAATGATTTAATCAGTTTAAGTATTAAAGTATATATATTAGGTAGATATGCGTCGTAGTAAGTTATTATGTACCGAGACGGCGGATTTCCGTAGCGAGTGTAGCGAGTGTAGCAAGGCTGAGGCAACGCCAATTTGTATAATTAACAACTATGCAAGGAATTTAGGAAATAGAGCGCGAAATTAAAATGTTAAGTGGCAATGACCGACGTTTTAAACAAGTGGCAAATTTTATTCAAAAATGTCATTTAGAAAAATAGACCTTATTTTGGTGCATGAAGAAAAATCAACTGTGACCTGAACTACATACATAAATATCAAGCAGTAATAAAGAAAATATATTCATACTTAATCACGGTTTTAACCAACCAGCAGTATTTACCACAAACGTAACCTTCCGAGGCGCTTTTATATAATTTTGTATATGTATTAGTCTGTCTGGAAGTTACAGACAAAGACAAATAGAATCTTTATTATCGCCCTTGTACATATTACATGTGTCACTTTACTATATTTTTTCTTATGTAATTATAATATATATAAAAGAATATATTATTCTTTCTGCCAATTTTTCGACACGACATTTACGCAACTAAGATACTTTCTATATTTTTTTTCCATTACGGTGTAATGAGGTTATCACCGGGGAATTTTATAAAAAAAATATTTATAGTCAACTAAATGACTCAACTACGACGACTACTAACTTTAAAATTGACCAAAGTATAGATAGAGAACCAATGAAAATAAAAAAAATGGTTAAATACTATAGTTACCTAATTATAATCGAATTATTCAATTTCGTATTTTCTCAGTGAATATTATTATTAAATAATGTAATATAAGTATACTTGTCCTAAACAAGTCTCCCTATATAGGATTCACGAATGCGGAAATAAAACGTAATGTATGTGATAGAGTGCGAGGTCTCTCAAGATGACGGTAATGAAAGAGCAAAGTGGAAGGAACGAAAACAAGGAAAGCGGATTACAATACCTCTTTGTGAGATACATAGTTGGGAAGTGAGAATTAAGTAAGTTAAATATAAATAAATTTAATATCAAGAACTCAATAAAAATAAATAAAACGTGGTGAGTGCCTGTGATTTTTCTCGTTGTACGTATAAATAATGACCGCTTCAAATTTAAAACAGATTATCGTAGATATTTGTAATGAGAATATTTGCAATAATTTACATTTTTTTAATCAGGTTTATAATTAAGATGATCCAAATTAGTGATATTAATAAAACACGTTAAATTAGACTAATTAAACTTCTAAAAATTGCTCAATAAAATAATTGATTTTACAAGAAATTTTGTAATAACAAAATGACTTCAGTCCCACATTACGGATATTTAGAATATTACAAAATTTATAATACTTTTGGAAACATATCAAAATTTATCTGATTATATAAATAATTTAGTTTTGATATTACAACATTAAGGAATACACTTATATGTAGATTCGTAAATCTTTAATAAATTAATAAATATCAGAAATTTCGGCGGTCAATAAATTAGATTTCTAACGAGGTTGAATAAAAATTATCGAGATATAATAGAGATAGAGACATATGTACAGAGATGGAATTATGTACACCATGGCTTGAGGTTTATAATATTATGAAACATCATAATAAATTGCATAATGTTGGGATAACCTTCATAGGGAATGCAGCGAGCGAGTATTATTTTTATAGTTCACATATTCAATAAGAAGGAGGCAGAGTTGTTCACCATGAGTACCACAGTTTATTTTTAACCCATTATAAATTAATTTATCCGAGTCAGACTTATTTTCAAATTCGATGCATTAACTTACTTATGATTTTTCAAAATTTAAATAAATGTTTAATAATTAATTACGGGCATGAAACAAATATACAAATATGTTATAACATTGAATCTCACAATTTTGCAATAAATGGTAATGACAAAACCATTCTACATTTTAAACCCTCAGATTTCTTTAATGTGTCTGCTTCAATCAGAGAGTCTGAGTCAGATGTCGAGATGAGAATAAAACTAGACTACCTGTCTTTTTCTACACTCGTACATCATTTGTTTTTATATTTTATTTATACCACAATAGTGACTATAGAGGATATGTTTCATGTAATGTGGTAAACGGTTACTTAGCCTATAAAGCCTGATAAACTTCTCATCTAGAATAACTCCTTATACTCTCTATGTAGAGAAAATTGTTTAAGACTATAAAAAATAATATGTATGAAACGTATAGTATTGGCGGAATGCCGATTACCACTATTAATCAGATAAGCTATCAATTAGCCTGTTATTAGGTAGTAAAAGGAACACCTAGCGTAATTAGTCGATAGTCGGGTCATACTGTGTGTTAATTTAACCGCATTTGGGCGGGCGCACGAGTGCCGTCGTGCCGTCACGACACACGCCTCGCTAACTTTTGTTTTCAACAGAGCCCTACTTGTTCACACGCCAGTTAACTATCAATAAAATTATGACAAGTTGCGCATTCAACTTGAATTTTATATTATAAATTGCATTTTTTAAGTAAATGGCAAGAGGTAACCGTTGTCTTATATCGTTTATCAGTTAAATAACATAGGGATTAAGATTTATTTACTAATATATTTTTTATCAAATAACAGATATGTTTCACAAAACAATGAAATTGAATGTTTATGAATCGGTGACAAATTTCGAAAACGGAAAGTTGGTTTTGCAATATTCGTGCGTATATTTGTCTGTTATAACCGTAATAATAATTCCATCGTGTTTCCTTTCGTTGAATATAACTGACAGCAAGAAATACTTACATATTTTAAATATTATAATAGAGTTATCTATAGAATTATTGTTCAATACCGACAGTTATAAAAATATTTTTCCTGTACTGTGCGTTTAATATCTACCTATAAGTACATATATTTCGCTATAGCTTTGTTTTTATAATTACAACTCAAAGATTAGTTTTATTAAATTACTATTAAAAGAAAACAAAGCATATCTATATTAGGTTTTCAAAGATAATTAAGTTGCTTAATACAATTAAATAATATCATAATAGTCATACAACGAGACTAATAATTTATAGGACCTCTACCTGTTTACGATAAGTATCAATTATTGATCGTTTATCTGTTAGTCTATTATGTTTACATTCATTTTAGTTATTAGAAAAGACTTGTTGCTGTACAATTGGCTTTAGTATTATAGAGGTCAGGTGTCCCGTAGTGTTCTACATCTGGCTTGTTGGGCAAGACAAGTATTTGAAAACTAAGTGCTCGCAACTACCTTTGAATATCAGATACACCTACAACAAACTAAGTTATAGTAACTGAAAGTCGATGCATGCCTGTTTATTTGTTGAACGCAACCGTAAAATTAACTTTAGTGCTATATGTCGCATCTTATTATGAATAGAGAAGAATATTTTCAATTGTATATGATTTCCATTTGTATTGCATTTGCGATATATTGCACCTGCAGCTATTACGGTCGCGTTCCTGATAGTTAATTTTGAAAATGTACTTACCATAAATTTCATTGTGAAAAGAAGTTAGCACAGAAGTGAAAGAAATAGAAAGAATGAAAAGGTTTTTGGATCGGATTTATAGCGCTGATGGAAGATTTAGTATCTTCCAGGAATCGCTATATTGAAGTGCAACTTGCGTCTGTGCGAAATGAGGGCGGGAGCAGGCTTTTATACGACGACGCGTGCGCAGAGGGGATGTTTGGTGTGGCGCGGTGCCGCGATGGTGAAAGTATTGGGACATGCCATTGATAATAGCCGAATATCATACACATTTCAATGGCAATCGGCCGTACATTTGGCAGTGTGTGAAGTTAGCACGTGCGTTTCATATTAGGAATATCACGTGTAGTTTTCACAGCTTTAATTCCGCGGTGATGATTCTGTAATAAGTCTATAGTCAGTAATTAATTTACTTCTTATCTAGTGTATATGTTTACAAGTACACGTTAATTGTATCGTAAATCAATGTTGGATGTTAATTTTACATCAAGTCAATTACACCATTAAATTTGTGGTACTATTTGTTTGCATTTTAGATTAGATACATGGTATAAAATATTAGGACACTTAATTATTGAATTTAATTACTGATATGTTAATGTGTGAATGTGATTTGTATTGTGGACAGTGTTTTAATGTGTTTACATACATATATTAGTATTAATAAATCATTTTGGGCAAATAGTTTTGAATATATAAATAATTTTATGAATAACACAGTCTTATATATACGGTGATTGATTATATGATCGGAGGATCGCGGGTTCGATCACCGATCTTTATAAATATTTGAATCTATTTATGAGTATATTTACAATTTTTACAGAACCAAAGTATTATTGTTGGAAATGTATTTACTTTGTACTATATTTAATATAGTAGTATAGTATTTCATATAATACAAACTCTGCAAAGTATGAGACTAGTACACGCTGAGTGAGCCGCCCGGAGTCATTTTAGTTATGAGATAAAAAATTGTAGGCATGGTAAGATTGTATAAGTGGTAATGACTTTTTTAATTTGAAAATTAACCTAACCTAAAGACAGGTACTAGAAAATATAAATTCATGTTCTTATAAATTCATCTGTGTATTAGTAAATTAGACCACGGACATTTACACACTTATACACTAACAGTTTTGAGGGAATGAAATAAGGACTAAATATTTGTTTAATTTTGTCTCGTTTAAGTAAATATAAATTTGTACTTAGTTGTAATTAGTTATATTGGCAAAATAAAAAATCCGTAAAATGTAAGTAGGATTGGCGTATCGTGAATAAAAAAATGCCTTAAACAATTGTATAAGTCAAGAAATATATTAAAGAAAGTTTTATTCTTTGTAGCTATGAATATGTAGATACAAATAAATGCAGTTGAAAAGTAAGAAAGGAGTTAAAGATATTTCACGCCTACCTATAAGTAATATCATGAGTTTCAATTTCAGAGTTCCCAACTCTGAATTGAAAAATGGCACCTGAGTAAAAGAAGTAAGAAGAATATGTTCATTTACATAAAATTTCAGGTCAATAATAATAACTACCCCCTTATTTATTTGTTTACAAAAAAAAGGAATCACCTTTGATCCCAGATACCAATATAAAATGATAGTTTGCAATATACAAATTATGAAACCCAAATATGTACAAAAGGTTGGAAAATGTAAGTCAATTGCTTATAGTTTTATTTCGATTATTGGATAGATGCAAAATTTGAAGTCACGAGTCTATTGTAACTCGAAATTGTTACAATGTGGTCACGCCTACTTATATTAGCCATTTGTCGAAATAGTCGATAGAATTTATGTATTATTATTTTTATAAAAATACATTGAATACAAAGACTTGAATTAGATCTCTTTGTTATCACTATACGGTATGGACTGATATTGCAAATATTATTTTTTTACAATTTATCAATGAATTGGGACTCATTATTCATTCAGTCATTTATGCACTCATCCGGTGAGGCAGCTACAACAAACAAGATTAGAATAGTTCGAAAATAGTGGCTTATGTAGTAAATATCTTATGTAACTATGATGTTCAAGTAGCGATAAACAGTAGAGCTTGCGAATAGGGCAGACGAACTGACAACATATGTAGATGACAACTGAAAAAAGGCTGATGGTGCTCAGTAGCGTGTCTTGGTAGAGGCCATGTCATTACATTCAATTGGGTTAATGATAACTTGTACATTATTGAAGATATTTTTGATGTTGATGACTATTCACAGTGAATTACAAAAATACAACTCATGGTGTGGAAGAAAGATAATTTTCTTATTGACGCGTTTTAGAACCCTTTAATTCATTTAGGTACTACTCGTAATTGCTAGTTACATCTAGTCGATAGATGACATACGCTCGTTTATTATCTCAAGTTATAAAGCTATAAGTTTGTAAGTCTGAAATTAGCCAGCGCTAATATAACTTTTTGTCAATTTAAACATAAATTGATAAAAAGTTATTAAAACTGACTATTAGGAAATAACCTTCGAAAACAAGCTATATTATTTCAATAAGGGGCGGTAAGCTCGCCCTCTGACGCATTGCATTCAAATATCGCAAGCTTAATGTCAAACACATAGGTTCGTCAAGTGTTGGGATCACCAGATATTGGACAGTTGATAGTTCTAGCGTTATGACAGGTGAAGGTATTAGTAGTAATAATAATAATTATACAATATCTTCATAAGTTGTTTGGTAAGATAGATATAGAATTATAAAAAATATATGATATGTTTGTATAATATAATGACTTCTATTTAAATCACTTCATTTTAGTCACAAAAAACAATTCTTCAAGTTGATCTTAAAGAAATATTCTAAAGTTGTTTATATTCCTCAAAATGAATATTATCTACCTCTTGTGCTAATTATTTGAACAAGATATTAACTTAAGGATATCCGTTGTCATTATAATAACTATTAAGAAATTTTTAGATTATAGCGGTTGTAATTACACTAGATATGCATAATTAACGGGTTTTTATCATAATAATTTTTTTTATTGAGTATGTCTAAATATCCATTTTGACCACGTTTCAAGAGTATTTTATGTAGTTTGACCTTCGTAGTATTTTTGAGTAGGTAGTTAGTAGTAGTAGTAAGTTGAAGATCCACCTAATGAAAAATGGTAATCATTCTACATGAACATCAACACAGACCTCACATTTAATTTCCAAGGGCAAACTATTTCGCATTAAAAAGTAGCCTATTACTATTAGCCTATATTACTTAGTACTCATTTCATTTAAATCGGTTCAGTAATTTGGCATGGAAGCGAGACAGACAGACAGAGTTACTTTTGGATTTATAATATTAGTAAGAATTTAATTTATATGCTGTAGATAGAATTTAATTGTATATATTATATCTACAGCAACGGAATAGCCTAGTAGCAAGTGTAGCAAATGTTACGGATCCCGTGCAATAAAGGGCATGCGTTTCTGTCTGAATACAAAACAAAGAAAAATTGTTTAAAACAAACTACATTATTAATTAAAAATTACATTATTAGTGTTCTCCGACGCTGTGCCATAATAAAATCTAACTTTAAATCGAAATAGAGAATTTCTTGCAGATCCCGCATTGGCTTAATACGACACTGTATATCAGTGGTTATTTGTGATGTCATCAATGATCTCATTAAGATATTAAGGTTGGCTACACTGTATTGAATAAGTCTGTATTGTGGTCTGATATATAAACATGGCATGTTTTATTAAATACAAGCTGTTACCCGCGATTTCGTCCACGGTTATTGAATTTTTAAATAAAATTTCTATATTAAAAGTTGTATGTAGTAGTAGGAGCAATTTATTCGCCTTATAAGGTTATCTTTCTGCGTGTCAAAGTTTCATCATAATCGGCCCAGGTATTTCAGAGATTAGCAAGGACAAAAGGATAACAACAACAAGAAGAAGACAATATATTTATTTGTACAGATAATAAAATTATTAAAACATGCAAATAACATAGTACTACATATTATATTATCTGTGGTACTACCATACCCGCGCTGCCATTACGCAGGATTACCCTTTAATCGGAACAAAGTCTAGAAAAGTACTAAAGTACTAAAAATACTAGTAAAAGTTAAGTAGACGTTCTGCAAAGTCTACTTCATGTGCTTTGAATCGTGTAAATAATAATAAATAAAATAAGTACAGTTAAGTATGTAAAAAAACGTAGTAAAAAAATTTTTTACGTGTGCATATTGAATGACTTACTTGTCATTATTTACTTGTACTTGAATTAGACTTGTAAGTACCTACTTTACTTTAATTCAATTGTTGTGTATATGTATCATTATCAAGTATTTACCTTAGAAGGTCTGGTATTTACATTAGAAGGCAACTCCTTCTAATGCATTAATTTTTGTAATAAATTTACGATGGTTATAATAAAAAATTAAAATATGTTTATTTATGTAGGTCTATTACAGACCTTATGATACGTTCGGAGAACTTTTGAGCTGAGAAGAACTAACAAGAAACTCTGCTCATATTCTTTTTAAATGCGTTTGTATATGATTTTACACAAATAGATATTCAATTTTATTGGAAACAATATTTATGTGAAGAAAAAATAACATATATTTTGCAACTACCTTTTAATTTTAAATAAGCGTAGTAAGGTCCATTTTAAACTGAACTATTGCTTACAAACATGGTTTGGGATAGTAGGGTAGGATACATGCTAGACACGTTTACACCCAAGTCCAAAAGTAATCGCTTATTTATTAAAAAGTCAATAGTGTTTAGAAAATAAATATAGTAATTTACGTCCTCTTTCTTTAAAGTCATTTTTATACTTCTTCGTTTAAAAAGGTTAATAAAACACTCAAATATTTAAAATGGGTTTATAGAAAGTTTTTGGTATTATGCTTTTAGGTGTTTTACTTAGAAGACAAAAGATAACAAATTGATTTAATTTAGTATATATTTCTATCATTTAACAATGGTATTTAACACTGTGCTATTAAGTCTAAGAATTACAGTTTTCTGCATAGAAAACTAAACATATTAAATTAACTCAATCATTCTGTATACAATACCTATCTACATATGGAAAAGGTTTTATGTCTTTATTTTACTATTCCTTTTAGAGATACAAATAAATGCGAGTGTATGGACATAAGAGTAATTTCTCCT